TCACTGAGGAGGGGAAAGCATTTAGTCTTGCAAGCATAAAGGCTCTTCAATGGGGAGGGAGTAGTAGATCCTTTAGATATTTGGCACAGGTTCTGTAGGATGTTGTGATACATAAGGCCTCAGGAGAACAAGATCTCAGAGTATGAGGTAACAAGTGCAGTCTTTCATGGTCGTGCTGCTTGATTAAATGGAATATGTGATTTTCATCACATACTTTGAGGCTCTCGAGGGCAAAGCCCAAACTACGGATTTTATCTTGAATTGCTCTATACCATCTGGATGAAGTACAGTCTTCAAGCACAGAGGTTAAGAAGGAGTTAGATGTTGTTCTAAAATGGACTTTCAGCCAGGCCTTAATTGTGGAAAGCCATGGTTTGGTTTCCGTCAGATGTTGACCAGATTCAGCATATAAGGTTAAATAACTTATGCATTTAGGGGGCACCAAGGATCTTATGAAGAAAGGTCGCTTCAGTTTGTTCAACTTCTCTATTAAATGCTTGTATCCAGATTGGATACAAATTATTCAACGTGTGGGCTCTCTGTAGGTTTGTATAATATCATTCCTCTCCTCCCCACACCAGTATCTTAAAAAACAATTAAAACAACCATACAAGTAACCTAAGAGGCTTCTTAAAAGTTTTGCTTATGTTAGAGATAAGTAGCCACTGCTTTCAAACACTTCGTCTTTTGGCTCAGGAATTTTTGACTGGTTGAGGTTTCTTCTCTTGCGACGTCTTTATAACAGGCATATAACACATATGAAGGGTGAGCTCTGATTTATGGGCCCTTTCCCCAGGTCTGCGCTTTTGGAATGAAAAGGAAGTTACATGCAATCACACTTGACATTTCAAAATGCAAATGAACTAGACTTTAGAGGAGTGGGTGGCGGAGGGCTGAGGGGGAGGGAGGTCGAGATAGAAAATGTGTTTTGAGGCATTGTTTCCCAACATCCTTGCGATCCAACAAGAATCTCCTCTGATGTTCTTCAATAATGGTTGCCTTAATGGGAAATAACACATGACTTTCCACCACGGGGGAAACAGTGCTGCCTTAACTTTTGCCCATGCCTGCAATTCTGCCTCCCTTCCCTGTGTCCCATCTTGTCCCCAGATTTAATGTCCGCATTGATTTGATAGTGCTTGGTTGGCATGATGCCTTGGAAAATGAGAAAGGGAGGGAGAGGCTGCAAGGTTACATTGTGAGCAGCTCTTGGTTTCGGAAAAAGGGGGGAAAACTGCTGAGCTTCACCATATGGGTTGCTGCATGGCAAAGAATATGCTTTATTGGCAAGGCTTGGAGGTTTACAAGCAATCTTCTTGAAGTTTTAATGGTTGCTCCGGTGATTTATCCTGCCTTGAGAGTCATGGTGGTGAAGAGGCACCCGGTTTCTGAGCTCTTGTTTTCCTTTATTATGAAAACCTTTAATCTTTCCAACAATTCACCTCCATCTACCATAAATAACTCCATTATAGGCCACACAAAAGAAATATGTAACCATTCTCATGTAAGGCTGAACTTTCCACATCACACACATTTATGAGCTGTTTTAACTTTGCAAGTCGGGTTCACCATGTAGAGCGATGTACATTTTTGGGGGGTGATGGTGAGATAAAGTCGATTTGAGTCTTCAGGGTATGGTATCAGTCCCCGAGGCCATAAGGCTTAGCAGCGGCCTATATTATGCTGACTTGCTGGAATGGAAAAAAATGCGTATTATGGTCTACTTGAAATGCTTTATAACTTTCTATGCTTTTGTACATGCTTCTATATATTTAATCCCGCAGGGTTTAATTTTATGATGGTGATTTGGCTTAACAATAGCAAAGAACAATATAATCTATGTAATACAGTGGAATCTGCCTTGCCTGTCACCATCATACCGACACACACCCAGTCTGATCAAACTTGCTTCCCAAGTAGAAAAGGGTTTGTTTTATGGTTTGGCTTCATAATTGCATATAAAGGTAAATTCAGACATGCAAGACCTGAACTTCACAGTGGAAATGAATTTTGTGTTCCCTCGAGAAATCAACAAAACCTGCAACTTGCTTATTTCCTTATTCTTGCCTAAAGGTAAAGGGACTCCTGACCATTAGGTCCAGTCGTGACTGACTCTGGGTTTGCAGAGCTCATCTCGCTTTATTGGCCAAGGGAGCCGGCGTACAGCTTCCGGGTCATGTGGCCAGCATGACTAAGCCGCTTCTGGCGAACCAGAGCAGCGCACGGAAACGCCGTTTACCTTCCCGCTGGAGCGGCACCATTGGCAGACCAACTCTGCACTACAAAGATGTCTGCAAACATGACATGGAGGCTGGCAACATCAACCCATGTGGGAATGCCTTGCAGATGACTGCAGTGCCTGGAGACAGGCAGTCAGGTTGTGCATTTATAGCAGTGACCAGAGACTGCTGGGAAAGAGCACAGAGAGAAGAAACGCCATGGTGCATCTGCAGCAGCACAACAACCAGACACCTTCATCTGCCCCAGCTGCAACAAAACATGTCTCTCCCATACAGCAGGCACTGCAACCTTCCAACAGCTTGACTTCACCCACAAAGGTGCACTCCCTCATTGTCTCCCTAGACAGACGGATGGTAACAAATTTCCTGGTATGCCCTTGAATTCCCACCTGCAAAATATGACAGTCTGGATGTGCCCTAAGAGAAGACAGGGGTGGGGAAAATGCATGGGGAGAAAAATATACAGTGCTATAGGTAAAGGGTAAAGGGACCCCTGACCACTAGGTCCAGTCGTGACCGACTCTGGGGTTGCGGCACCCATCTCGCTTTATTGGCCGAGAGAGCCGGCGTACAGCTTCCGGGTCATGTGGCCAGCATGACTAAGCTGCTTCTGGTGAACCAGAGCAGCGCACGGAAACACTGTTTACCTTCCCGCCAGAGTGGTACCTATTTATCTACTTGCACTTTGATGTACTTTCGAACTGCTGGATTGGCAGGAGCAGGGACTGAGCAACAGGAGCTCACCCCGTCGCGGGGATTTGAACCGCCGACCTTCTGATCGGCAAATCCTAGGCTCTGTGGTTTAACCCACAGCGCCACCCGCAGCCCTCAGTGCCATAGAGGCCTTCCATTTTGTTATTGGAGGTATACTGCCTCTGAACATGGAGGTTCAATTGTAACCTATCGCTTCTGTTATCCATTAAATTTGTCCAACCTGTTTGAAAGCCCACTCAGTATTGGTGGTCCTTGCAAAAATCCACAGTGTAAAAATGTACTTCCCTTTTCTTCCTCCAGAAACTTTTCCCCCCTCCTGCTAGTTCACTGTTCCTTAACAAAACAACCCAGATTTCGCAACAATTAAAATATCAAGATCAGATTAACATGTGACAACTGAGGAACTTAATCCCCAAAGACAGCACACACCTATTTTATTGCTCTGCATGATTGCTTTTATGACTTTGCATAATTAATTCAGGGTTTTTTTTGGGGGGTAGGGAGGTGAATATCTGCTTCCTGCCCATGCCTCTTTGCCTCTTTCTTTAGAGGCAAACATAAATGGAAGCTTGATATTGCAGAATGCTAACAAATATATCAGTGAGGGCGGTTAGGTTTTATTTGAAAGTTTCATTAGCATGACTGAGTTTCATTTGTCCTTGGCGAGAGGCTGTTAACTAGCAGTTTTACACGTTTCTCACACTGGGGGCAGGGGGGGATGGGACTCTTTACAGGTTTTGGTAAAAGATTAAGAAAAATTAATGGAAACTGCATAACAGTTCTATAAAAGCTGCAAAGGTTATTTCCAGAATTCTTGCAGTGCCCTGCCCTGAGGGAAAACTAATGCACATATGTGTGCCTCTGTGTATGTATTGGTGAGACTGAGGGAAAACAAAGCAGATTTCATTATACAGTGGTACCTCGGGTTACAGATGCTTCAGGTTACAGACTCCGCTAACCCAGAAATAGTACCTCGGGTTAAGAACTTTTCTTCAGGATGAGAACAGAAATCGTGCAGCAGCGGAACAGCAGCAACAGTAGGCCCCATTAGCTAAAGTGGTGCTTCTGGTTAAGAATAGTTTCAGGTTAAGAACAGACCTCCAGAACGAATTAAGTTCTTAACCCGAGGTACCACTGTAGTTTTGTTTCATTATTTTTTACGTATCCATTTTATCACATTTCTGCCTTGCCTACCTCAGATCCTCCAAGTATCCCTATTTTCCAGAGATTTACAGATGCCATCCCAGTTTCTGATATGATCCCGGAATGTCCTGCTTTTCCTCGGACGTCCCTATTTTCATCAGATAAATGTTGGAGAGTAGGGAGTTGTGCGACCCCCGAGTCAGAGAGGTAAGAAACTACACAACCTTTAGAGAACACCTGAAGGTAGCTCTATATAGGGAAGTTCTTTTAATGTTTAATGTTTTATTATCTTTTTATATGTGTTGGAAGCCATCCAGAGTGGCTAGGGCAACCCAGTCAGATGGGAGAGGAATAAACATTATAATAATAATAATAATAATAATAATAATAATAATAATAATAATGACATCCCTGTTTTCATCGGAGGAATGTTGAAGGGTATATCACATTAGGAACATAGGCCATTAGTCGATCTGGTTCAGTACTGTCTACTTTTAGCTGTGACTCCTGGAAAGACCTGCCCCCTGCCTTGCAAGGCTTTTCCATCTGGTTTGGGGGGCATGGCTCGGACTGACTCCAACTACAAAAGCTGGGGTTGCCGAGCAGACTTTTGGGCTGGGGTATTGTTCAGAGATATTGTTATTGAAATTAATCTTTTTTTGTATCTTATTATGATTTATGTGAAAATTGATGATTGGGCTGTGTAGTTTTTGATGTTTTATTTATTATCCATGGCTACTTTTGTTATATTTGTAATTATGTATTTTTTTTCATGTTGAAAGCCGCCTTGAGCATGGTTTTAACTATGGAAAGGCGGCATGCAAATAAAATTATGTATATATGTATGTACTTGGACTGGCAGCGGTTCACCAGGGTTTCAAGAAAGAATCATTCTCAGCCCTATTTGGGCACACTAGGGATTGAACCTGAGACCTTCTGCTTGCAAGGCAAGATGCTCTGCCACTGACCCAATGTCAAAGTGTCACTGGCTGGGTAGCAGAATGGGGTGAGAATGTGGTGGTGGAACTCTCAAAGGTTCAAGGGAATGTAGTTGTAAAGATTGTACCACTTCACACTGCCGGTAGACCCATCAAATGTCTCCATTGCATGTAGAAAGCTAGCACAGTGGCAAGACAACTGAGTTAGAACCTTTCTTCCTGTCTGCCAGCTTTCTTCTTAAAGACTGTTCTCACACACACACACACACACACACACACACAATAGAACATTTAAAAAACCCCAGGACCACCTCTCTGTGGTCCAAAGTGGTATAGTCCATTCTGCCATCTTTATCATCTTGCATGCATAGATCTAGCCGTAGAGATACAATCTATACCTCATTAAAAGCCCTGTGAAAACCCCTGTTGCTTTTAATGGAAAGGGATTTATCCTGTGAGACATCTGAGCTGTTGGCTTGAGCAAAGGAACTAGGCATTCTTATTTCTTTGAGTACTCCAGTCAAATGGTTATATTTGCTCTATAAATGGTAAATGGGCCAGGCCTTGTTTCTTATGAGCTGTCGAGCTAATAAACACACTATTTGAATTGATATTATAGGGAGGTCAGGAGGGATGTTGTAAAGGCAGCAGTGGCGTTTCGGAATATCCCTCGCCGAATGGCTAACATTTTGAAGAGAACCTAAGAAGAGCTTGTTGGATGAAGCCGATGGCCTATCTAGTCCAGCATTCTGTTCTCACAGTGGCCACCTAGATGCCTTTGAAAAGAGGGAAAGCATCACTATAAAAAAGAGTGGGGAAAAGGACACAGGTTTGCATAAAATTTACAGGTGCCAACATATACTTACTGATGCACATTTAGAAAAAACTACTATAATTTAAGGGACGCAGGTGGCGCTGTGGGTTAAACCACAGAGCCTAGGACTTGCCGATCAGAAGGTTGGCGGTTCGAATCCCCACGACGGGGTGAGCTCCCGTTGTTTGGTCCCAGCACCTGCCAACCTAGCAGTTCAAAAGCACAAAGTGCAAGTAGATAAATAGGTACCGCTCCAGCAGGAAGGTAAATGGTGTTTCCGTGGGCTGCTCTGGTTCGCCAGAAGTGGCTTAGTCATGCTGGCCACATGACCCGGAAGCTGTCTGCGGACAAATGCTGGCTCCCTCAGCCAATAAAGCGAGATGAGCGCCGCAACCCCAGAGTCGGTCACGACTGGACCTAATGATCAGGGGTCCCTTTACCTTTACTATAATTTAAATAGAAACCCAAAACTTCTCAGTATTGTGCTGAAGACTGAACAGGTGACCTGTGGTCCTTGCTCAGTCTCCTGTCTGGGTGTTAACTGTTGATGGGCAACTTTAAGGGATATCCTGCTCTCCCTTCTGATGGCTAATCCCTTCTGATTATCATTCACCCCACACTTTTCAATGCATTTCCCCCTCACTTTCCAAATTGCAAAACATCTGACCGCCCCCCCCATGTGAAGCATCCAGAGATCTTGTAATGAAGGGCGGCATATAAATCTAATAAATAATAATAAATAATAAAGTTGATTTGTTTCACTAGGGCATCAGAACACTCTTTAATTGCACATACTTAAAAGTTCTGGCATGGCTTTGAATCCTGCAAAATATGAGCAGCCTAGAGGCACCCAGATTCTTATAGTAACTTGAAAAAGCAACAGATTTCTTGTGGCGTTCAGCTTTGTGGGCTAGAGGCCCTGACGAAGTCTTAGGGGGCAGCTAGGCCCTTTGTTATTTTTGCTTTTGAAACTTGATCATCCTGGTTTTTATACTCCCCACCTCCGCCCCAAATTTCCCACCTCTAGCCACTGGGATAAATAATGGGGCAGGAAAGGATGACTGGCTTACTGATAACAGCAGATGTGCCATTAATTTAATAAAGGTGCCTATACAGTGTTGACAGAGTTGAAGGAGGCATTATTTACTTAGATGATTACCCAGTCTTTTCCCAAAAGCTCCTGTTGGTGAATTGTCTGTCTCCATCTCACTCGAAATAGTATGCATCAAGAGCAAGTCAATTTCTACTTATTTCTGCAACGCTTTGGAGAGTGCAAAGTGGTGAAGGCGCCTTATCTCATTGATCCTCATGTGACAATGGAAATCATTTTAGAGTTCTTTAGGGTATACCACACCACAAAGAAAGGATTAAGCAACTTACCTCTTGATCTGAGATATTGTCCTTGCTTTCCTGCACTTTAAATTTAGTTATTTCCCACCTTTTCCCACCCACTTCAGTCCTATATGTGTTGAGTTATCTGCATTTTTGATACCTGCATATATTTTGCTGCTACCGGTTCCTCGTTCAGAGGAAAAGCCTCGCAGTAGTTGGTCTCGGTTTTTTCACAACCACAATAACGGGCAGCAGGAGTCGAGAAAACCAAAAGCCCATCAAGACAGAAAATGGAAAACGCACAAACAGAATCATATCAGCAACCTTGTGGGCAGCTCGCTGTTTGTGGAAGATGTTATCTTCACTTTACCATTAGTTAGCTCTGCACCAAAGGAAGAGATAAGGGAATATGAACACATCAACCAGTCCTTTGCAACAATCTAGCTAGTGCCTATATAATATGAATAAAATAGATTGTGGTCTAAAGTTGCTTTCTCCCTGCTCCCCACCAAAAAGCACTTAGAAATACAGTGGCTTTATGATTCAACAACATATTCCCAACAATGATGAACTCTTCCAAGCCCACATTCCTGTAATAATCAAGGATGTGATCTATGGGGAGCTGGCCTCAGGCACTAGGCCTGCTGGCACATAAACTCTTGGACAGTCAGGTTGTGTATCTACAGCACTGACCAGAGGAGAAATGGCCACTGGGAGGAGCACAGGGAGAAGAGACGCCATGGTGCATCTGCAGCAGCAAAACCAGACGCCTTCATCTGCCCCAGCTGCAACAAAACATGTCTCTTTCCTCTTTACAGCCACAGTAGGCGCTGTAACTCTCCAACAGCTTGACTTTATCCCTGATGGCGCACTCTTCCATTGTCTCTCGAGACAGATACCAACAGCAATTGTTCAGCCATTTGAATGGATTAATCAAATGCTTTTTAACCAGTTAATGTACTTAATTTATGAAAGTCATTTGACTTGAACTACTATAGGTGGCTGTTTAAGATTTTTTTTGTTAGATTATTTCCCCCATCCTTCCTCCCAAAGGAGTCTAGAGCAGCAAACAACAAAACAATCAAAACATCACAATTAAAAATATGCCCAGTAAGAACGTAAGAAAAGACCTGCTGGATCGGGCTAATGTTGTCATTTTTTCCCAAGGCAACAGCTCGACTAATTCCTGTGTTTATAAGTGAGCACCACAGCACACAAAAAGAAACAGTGGCAGAGCCCTTAGGCATTTAAACAATGAGAGAGAGAGAGAGAGAGAGAGAGAAAGAGAGAGAGAGAGGGAGATTGCCTCTAGGCAACCTGTTTACTGAGCATTTATCCTGATTTGTTTTCAAGAAAATTGCAGGGAGGTTACATGGTCGTGTCTGTTTATTGACCATTCATCAATATTTACTCATGGGGAAGTTTTATGATGATGCATCAAGAAATTGTTGCCCACTTTGCAGTGTATTTTCCTCCCCTCCCTTTCCTTGCCATAGAAGTCCCATCTCCCCCCCCCCCCGCCCCGCTTTTAAAGCAGGTTTGTTGGGTGAAAGCATCAAATCCACTTTGATTGTACAACCTGAATTCAGGTCGCCAATGAATCCCTTTTGCAAAACAGATAAATCAGAGAGGGAAGGGTTGCTTACTGAATGAAGTCATGCTGCTGACTCTTCATTGACATTATCAGTACTCACGTAGGTGGAAGCATCCTTCTTTTCTGACAGTTGTTGTTGTTTAGTCGTTTAGTTGTGTCCGACTCTTCGTCACCCCATGGACCAGAGCACGCCAGGCCCTCCTGTCTTTCACTGCCTCCCGCAGTTTGCTCAAACTCATGCTGGTAGCTTCAAGAACACTATCCAACCATCTCGTCCTTTGTCGTCCCCTTCTCCTTGTGCCCTCCATCTTTCCCAACATCAGGGTCTTTTCTAGGGAGTCTTCTCTTCTCATGAGGTGGCCAAAGTATTGGAGCCTCAGCTTCAGGCTCTGTCCTTCCAGTGAGGACTCAGGGCTGATTTCCTTAAGAATGGATAGGTTTGATGATGAGACGTTTTGCTTCTGCACATGACTCTGGCAAACTGTTCTAAGCCGAAGCATTCCTTCCTCACCCTAGAATGTTCACTTCACATTGAGTTCATGAAACAATGTACCATGACCTGTTCTTAATGCATGGTTGACCACATTTACGGGATGCGATAGTTATGTTCTTTTAAGTCTTGCTATATCAATCACTAGTAATAGTTTAAGTCTTGTTATATCAATCACTAGTAATAGTTTAATAAGGAGGTTTTCACGCCTGTCCAATTCTGTGTTCCCTTTCCCAACCTTTAATCTATTGATGATTAATGCCTATATTCAACCTTTGCATTGTATTCATGTTAACCAATCAGCAACAAGCACATATGTGGCAGTGCTGTAATACTCAATAAAAGGGACTTCCCGAGACATGCTCAGGAGATGCCTCCCATATGACACTTGTCATTCGTCTGTCGTTTATTTCAACCCAACAGTTTGATCTTCTTGCAGTCCATGGGACTCTCAAGAGTTTTCTGACAGTAGTATCATCTGAATACTCCTCAAATGGTTGGGCGTTCCAGGCAGGCTTTCACCTGGAAGTTTTCAAGTACTGTCAGGAGTGGCCAGGACAGTACAGTGGTTCTGGACTCAAGGCAGTGGCATTGCTGCCATATGATGAGATGGTGAGGTGATGGGGCAGGGCAGTTGCAAGAGCAGGGTGGTCTGGGGACACCAGTGGAGCCAATCCAGTGCTCCTACTGGTGCAACCTCACCGCTCTGACCTCACCACCCCACTTCCTGCCCCCCTGGTAAGTGGCAGTGATGCTGCCTCTACCAGGAGTCCAGGTTCATGGTGCCATGCCCCCTACCGCCAGCTACTC